TTATAACATGGGGCTCCGCGCCGTCCTTCTGAAAGCAATTCCGCTGTTGAAAACTGAAAAATGGGTGTAATTTGCGTTCAGAAAGTGATGTTAAGGTCATGGCAATTTCCCGGGCCGTTATTTATTTTTACTTTAAAGTCTTTAGGGAAGATTTGCTTATATCCTCGGAAACCTTCCAATGCGAGGGTACCAGCAATCCAGTTCGCCTTCAGCGCGGGGGGGAGGCGTGGAGAACAATTACTGAGTGACGCTAATATGGGGAAACTGAAAAGAAATGTCGATTGTTTTTATTGTAACAGAAGGAGTGAACAAACAGAAAAACCAACCCCGGGTGAACGGAAACAGGCAGGCGGGGAATTAAAAGCGGGTTTCAGGCGGCAACAGGCCCCTCCCCTGCCCTTGGAAGGAGTAAGCGAGTGAGGAGCGCTCTCAGCCCCGGGGGCCCATCCCACGGCCCGCAGCGGGATTTCCGCGCTCCGGCGGGACCCTGCATGCTGCGGTCCTCTGGGGGAAAGCGTCTTGAATCCTACGCACGTCGGCAAGAAGGCGGAGAGGCAGCAGGGAGGCTTTGGCGATTCTCGGAGAATCTTCTGGGCTCTTTCTGGGGGCCGCCTCCCCCATCCCCCAGCCTCCACTGGGGCTGGTACGTCCCGCGGCGTCCGCAGCCCGGCTAAGTCCCGGCCTGCAGGTCAGTGTGTGAGCGCCCCCACACCCCAACCCCGGGGGCCTGGCTGGGGCTGGGGGCCCTGGCGGTCTGTCTCTCCCTCACCCCAAAGCTTTTCTCTTTAGCCCCCCCCCCCCTACTCAGACCCCGGCTCGGCGCGCTGTTCCCGCCTGGCCCGCACTCAGAGTGGCCCTCCCTCGCCTGGGGCACAGGGTGCGCTTCCGGCTGCCACGTGCCGCAGCAGGCGCTGGGAGGTCGAGTAGGCGGAGGAGCGGCAGCTGACCCCGAGCGGCCGGGACAGAGCCGTGGCCAGATTGGGGTTGGAACCCGTGGCCTCGGCGTTAGCCGCGCAGTCTGGCGAGGACTGAAGTCTGGCCTCTTTTTCTCTACGCCGCGCTCAATGTTCCACTTACCCTGAAAGAGGCGCTCGCTTGGGGGAACCGGGTTCGAGATCTTGTTTCTATCTCATTCCCTCCTCACAAGGCTGCAAGTCACTGTGCTCCGAAAACCCGTCGCGGAGCTCAGACCCTTGCCTCCTCTCCTTCCCTGGAGCTCCCTGGGCAGGGTGAGAAGCGGGCACCGTCGCCTGCGCCTGCCCGGGGTCCTGTCCCCAGCAGGAGGGCAAGGTGGAAGAACCTGCCCCTTAATGTTCTTCTCTGCCAGCTCTGCTCTTCATAAATGCCACCGAGAACAGCAGGACCCCTCTCACGCGCACACGCAGAGCGTCTCTCATTCTATCCCCCAGCCTCAGGCGAAGCTGACCTGCAGACCCCGGGTAGCAGCCCAGGCCGTCGGTCAGGGTTGCAGAGCTAGGGAAGAGTTCTCCCGCAACAGCCTGTAGCGCCGGGGTCCCACCTCGGCTGCCCCCCACCCCGGTCCCCGGGCGGGCGCCGTCTGCCAGGCTGCGCGAGGACTGCCTCGCAAAGAGCTAGATTCCTGTTCCTTCTGGTCGTCTCTCCTCAGATCCCGCTAATGCCGAGAGGGGGGCGCCACAGATTGCCGTCCGCGGCACTGCGACCGCTGACAGATTTATGAAGACTTTACAGCATCTGGCCTGGGCCCGCAGCGGCAGGGCAGGAGTCCAGCCCAAGAGGTGCGCTGTGGGCTGAAGTTCCCCCGGCGGCGTGCGCGGGCCGAGCCGCCCCCGGGCCCTGGCTCCCCTCTGGCCGGTGGACACATCTGTCCCCGCCAGTGTCGAGAGTAGGGATTCTCTCCACCCGGTGTAGCCCTCTCCTTCCCACCCTCCCCCGCTAGCTTCCAGTCTCCCACTGAGTAAATATTTACCCAGAGAACGGGTAGCCTCTTGGAGGAGGCCTCGACAGCACCCTGGGAAGGGCTTTTGGCTTCTTCCTGGCCTGTGTCAGCTGCAGGCCTTACTGGTTGTGTTTTGGTTTTAGTCTTTTAGAAGAAATTCTTTTAGTAGATTTTTTTTTTTCCGATCTCTTTGTAATCTCCCGGGTCCACAGAAGGCAGTAACCAGGGAGCTCTGACCCCAGCTGCCCCTTGGCTCTTTCTCGAAGTCCTGCCTCCCTACGCCCACTGTCGAGGCTTACCGGCCCTTTAGGTTTCTCTCTCCCTCTCGCCTGCCCGCCTCTAGCCCTCGAGTCCTCTTTCCCTTTTTCAAGTCACTTATCTCTCGCTCAGGCTCTTTGATTTGCCAGCTACCTGACCAGAGCACTCAGGGTGCGGCCCCGGGAGGGTTCAGCATTCAGCATCAGCATCTTCCTCTAGGATCCCTCGCCTCCATCTGTCCCCCGAAGTTTCCACTCCTTTTGCCCGCCAACCTCGGGCCTCACTTTGCCACGGGTACTTAGCTACTTAGCGTCCCCAAACACCGACGATTCTTCGCGGGGTGTTGGGAATGCGCCGAGCTGAGAGCACCGAACACCCGCTGGTGTGGTGACCGCCTGCCCAGCTCCGAGGAGCGGGGAGAAGGGGTGCGCCACAAAGATAACGCGCGGCCGCAGCCAAGTCCAACAGGTGGAAATGAAGAGATAGTAGCAGACCTGTTCCAGAGCACGGGACATGTCAGGCAGCTGAAGGAGTTTAGGGGCAAACGGGAGGGATTTGTGTTTAGGTCCACCTAGCCGGAGCTCTAAACAATGAGTCTTTGGATCACTCCGGGTTGGTGCTGTAGAACCACTAAAACCCTCATAGAACGCACAGATCCACATTCGGGCATCGGGTCTTGTCAGCCAGAAGGTGGAACAGCCCATTACCGACACTGCCGCCCAGCAAAGTCCGCGAGGCGCTAACAGGGCGCTCGAGCAGAGTTGAGTCCGTGTCTGTGGGGGGAGGGGTCAGGGAGCTAGCTTCTTGATCTAGAAGCCCGGCATGTTCCATCTTTCACACAAATCTCCGTCGTAGGCTCTTCTCTGATATCTCAGTCTCAATTAACTTGCACCCAATCCCCAGGAAGGAATTGCTGCATTAAAAATCTTGGATTCTCCAAAGACCTCCGCATGGTAAAATATCAGGCGATGCCAAACAATAAGTATTTGGGGTCAGACCAGGGTAAAATCGCTATCGAGTCAAACTGGAGATTTTAAACAATTGAAACAAACAAATAAAGAGACAAGTTTAAGTATTTCTAGCTGTGAGACTTTTCCCAAGAACCCGACTATAGGGGCGCCTGGGTGGCTCAGTGGGTTAAGCCTCTGACTTTGGCTGGGGTCATGATTTCAGGGTCCTAGGATAGAGCCCTGCATCGGGATCTCTGCTCAGCAGGGAGCCTGTTTCCCCCTCTCTCTGCCTGCCTCTCTGCCTACTTACGATCTCTATCAAATACATAAATAAAATCTTGAAAAAAAAGAACCCGATAATAAAAAAATTAAGGGTCTTTGAACACATCCATATCTTTTCATTCTTTTTACCTATAAATTTGAAATCAGACTGCGGCCCCAACCACAGGAGCATGAGGATCTGGGGGTGGCTCTTCATTTCAAAAAACACAGATGATCATTCGTTTTTCTGGCTTCTTGTCACTTAGTGGCTGGAATCCGGGCCCGGTCAGCTTTCCTGTATGTAGTAGACTGGAACTACACACATCCCTCAGGATTGTGGGAAGATCAACAGGAATCCTGTGTGCACAAGTAGTAGTGTTATGACTGTCAAGTAGCAATATCAACATCCTCGACCCGAAGAAGTCCAAACACCCAAGTTCATTAAAGATGCTCCCCATCTTGTTTTTAAATTTGATTAGCATTCTCCATAACCCATACTCAAAATGTAATTAACTTTGGCCGCCAAAAAGAGTACTATATACTTTAGATTAGACTTAGAGTGATCGAAAGTGAAAATTCACAAGTAGGCTGACTCTCAAGGCCCCTAGTAGCTAAACAGAGACAGGGGAAATACATATATGTGCAGGCTCGGTGTTCAACTTTCTTGGGACCAAGTCTCTTCGATTAAACAAAACTCTTGCGGGGGCGGGGGGTGGGCAAACCTTGGCATCAAGTACCGGTAGACCAGCAACCAGGCTGAGCGCAGTGGCGCGCTGACCTCCAAGGAAAGTGCCTCACGCACAGACAGTCGTCGACGTTGGCTGTGAGCTAGCTTTAGCCGCGTGTGCTTAAGTCCTCCGCATACCGCGCGCGGCCGCAGCCTGGAGCCTGCGTAGCTAAGGTTTGGCCCCGAGCTCCTGGGTGAACCCACCAGAAACTGCATTGGGGCGCTAGTTCTGGAGGCAGGAGAGGGGTCTCCACCTGGGTCACAGTGGCCTCCACCTCTGGCTTGGTCTCCCATCAACCTCCTGGTCTCTCCGATCGGCCTATCGTCTCACACCTGCGCTCTCGCCACCTGGCATAGGCTGGAGTTGAAAAGGTATCATCCCGGTTAAAGTGTCCTTCTCCAGACAGCCCCCTGGAGACCTGCAAGACCGGCTATTCTAAGAAACACCCCCGCCACCCACCTAACGGTGGCCCCCACCTCCCACCTAGAGTTTTAATTTAAATTCTGAGTCGTCTGTTTCTCCCTCCCCCCAAGTCTCAACTTCTTCCGCCTTAGAATTTCTCATATTCAGACCAAATGCTTTCATTTGCTTATTCAGCAAATTTATCAGTTTGACTTTGTTGTCTGTTTGAGTTGCCCCTAGGAAGGTGTCAAACACCCATTTTCATTGTATTTAGTCACCCAGGTGCACTGCAAGCTTGCAAGAGACAGCGGAAGAACTTTCCCGGACTGCGCTGTCGCTCAGCAGCTCGCACCAATCACCACGCAGATTGACCTCGGGCCCTCCTCTTCGAGGGCGTGTCCCCAGTGAGTGATAGACGGAGCCGCCCGGCCCGGCTCAGGCCAGCCCACGTTGCTGCTCAGATTGAAATGCAGAACTCTAGCCTCTTTCATCGGGGCACAGACTTCCTTTTACTCCTTCCTTCTGCGCTCTCGCCGCCTCCTCCTGGGAAGAAGCGGAGGCACCGGCTGCCTGGGGCAGCGACAAGCCGGGCCACTGAGGCTGTGCGAAAAGTTTCTTTTTGGGAGTTCGGAATTGGGGCCCGGTTGGTGTACTGCTCGGAGCAATGGGTGAGTGGCGGCGGGGGACGCTGTCAGAGCGGGGAAGGGAGGGAGGGAACGAGAGGGCGAGGGAGGGAGGGAGGGAGCGCGAGGGCGCGCACCACTGAGCGCTCACTCTCTTCTTATTGACTTTGCTCCTGTTCCTACAAGTTTTAGAAACACGCTAAGGGTCAGGGCACTCAGCAGTTCAGTATGAACGCTGGCTACTGGGTTGCTGTTGATGCCATTTTCTGATATTAAAAGAAGGGAGCGGTGGCATCCGCAAGCTCCGTAGCCTCAGTGCGGACCAAGTTTTGTTTCACACAAACTCACACACTCAGGACAGGGGGGAAAAATCCAAACGAACTGTAGTTTCTCCTAGACTAATTGCGCCGGTCCCCAGGCGGGGCGCTGGGGCTCCAGGGGTGGCAGCCCAGAGACTTTAGAGCCGAGCAGACGAGAAGGAGCTGGTTGCAGGAGTCAAGACCGATTTCCCCGCCTGCTTCGGAGGCTTTTGAACACTTGGAGCGGCCCTGCGTCTCACCACTTTATTTGCTTGTAGTGGCCGCAGGCACCATTGGGAATGGGGTGGGGAGTGCGACTAGACCTTAGTGGTTTGCGGCCATTGGGCAAGGCTCGGGGACAGTAGGGTTTGGGGAAAGCCCAGGTCCCCAGTCTCGGGTGGGTGCATCTGCCCGGCCTTCTGATGTGGGCGGAGGCGGAGTGGAAAACGGCTGTCCCAAACTGCCGGTGCGCGTCCCCGCGCGCCGTGTGTTCGTTTTGCAGAGCCAGCCTTTGGGGAGGTGAACCAGCTGGGAGGAGTATTCGTGAACGGGAGGCCGCTGCCCAACGCCATCCGGCTTCGTATCGTGGAACTGGCCCAACTGGGCATCAGACCGTGTGACATCAGCCGCCAGCTACGGGTCTCGCACGGCTGCGTCAGCAAGATTCTGGCGCGCTACAACGAGACTGGCTCGATCTTGCCAGGAGCCATTGGGGGCAGCAAGCCCCGAGTTACCACCCCCACCGTGGTGAAGCACATCCGGACCTACAAGCAAAGGGACCCTGGCATCTTTGCCTGGGAAATCCGGGACCGCCTGCTGGCGGACGGCGTGTGTGACAAGTACAACGTGCCCTCGGTGAGCTCCATCAGCCGCATCCTGCGCAACAAGATCGGCAACTTGGCTCAACAGGGCCATTACGACTCATACAAGCAGCACCAGCCCGCGCCACAGCCGGCGCTGCCCTATAACCACATCTACTCGTACCCCAGCCCCATCACGGCGGCCGCAGCTAAGGTGCCCACGCCGCCCGGGGTGCCTGCCATCCCCGGCTCCGTGGCCATGCCCCGTACCTGGCCCTCCTCCCATTCCGTCACCGACATCCTGGGCATTCGCTCTATCACCGACCAAGGTAAGGGCTCAGGGGCCGGGTGGTGTGGGTGTGCAGACCCTCCCTCTGCACCCTCTCGGGTGTCTCTGTATCTGCGGCCTCCGGGCCCGAATCTGTCCCACCACCTGAGGCTTTTTCCTTACGAAACTAAGGAGTCCTCCCAGGGGGTGTCCTGATCTCATTAACTTGAAATTCATGCCCTCTGCTTCCTTGCCACACACAGTCTCCTGCCTCATCTCAAACTACCAGACCCATAACATCCCCCCATCCCCAACACATGGTTCGCATTTTCCACCCTCCCCCGCCTCTCGAGCCGCTGCAGCCTCAAACCCGCTCGCTCACTCGGAGAGCGCGGCCCAGGTCGGACTTGGGGCGCAGCCCGGGAGGCCTGAGCAGGCGTGGGGCTGCTGGCTGCAGACACCGCTGCGGGCAGCTTGTTTGGGGATCGGATGCGGCCTCGAGGAGTCGGGCACCCTGTGGAAATTGCAGTATTCTTGGATTCTGGCAATCAGGCCAAATTTGCTCAGGCAGGAAGTTCAAATGTCACCTAATTGGTTTCATTCTTATGCTTCACTTCATTTTCTTCGGAAACGGAGGTCCCGAAGTTACTACCAGTAACTTGCATGTTACTGCATTGCTCATTCTGGGACTAATTTTCTGCTTTATTTCTCTCTCTCTCCCTCTCTCTTTTCCTACTGCCCCCACCTCCAGCCTTTACCTTAGTAGAGTTCACTATATGTGTCTTAAGAACTGGCACCAACCACCGCTATGATGGGAACAAAATGTGGGGTGATTTCATCATGTCCTCTCTTCTTTCCCAGTTTACCCAAGCCTGCGGCTTCCCTTTATGGTCTCCCCACCCCGCCCCCCCTCCCTAGGAATGCCAGTGGACACCTAGTACCTGCACATTTTCAGCGGTGCCACCCCACTGCTCCTTTCCTTTCTCACCCTTGACCTTGCCCTCTAGAGAGTGTCTTTTCTGCTTGGCAAGAAGGATTCTCCAGCCTTACTGCACAGTTGGGCTTCCACAGACCAGACTTTGTTTCCCTTTACTTCATAATGGGACAAAACAACAACAGCAGCAAGGAAACTGGCATTAAATTCTTTCTGGGTAGGAGGAAAAAGTCAACGCGTCCTAGGCACAGAATTTAAATAATGCAGAGATAAGAGCCTACCGTTTTAATTTCTTGGCCGAAAGTTTAAAAAGTGCAGGGGAAAAATTAAGTAGGAAAGGCGGGGAATAGTTCCTTTAATTATTTCCTGCCTTTCTCTGTTGCCACCACATTGGCACAATTATCTTTTTAAGTAATTAAAGCAGAGCCCTGATTTCTTGTCTTCTTGTTTGCTGACTGTGAATTTACAAGATTTTTCTAGGAGCCCAGTTTTATCTTATTCGGAGTTGGTTGGAGCTTTAGTTGGAGAGAGTTTGCCCTTGATTTATAGGATAAACTGACCTCACTGACATTTAAAGGAAGCCCCTGTTCATGGGAAAGTGTGAGATCAGCAGAAATGGGGGCTCACAGGGGGATCTCAATTTCTTAAGATAACTTCAGTCTTGTGCCCACCGGTTGCCTTTTGTCTGGGAAGGCAAAGAGAGACTGGCAGTTCTTTGCCAAAACACGGTTTCCTGGTGCAAACTGGAACACAATCTAATTCTTTGGAGAGGGGGAGGAATAGTGAAAAAAGACTGACAGAGTTGCTCTTCCCTGGGGATCCTACAATCAGACCAAGTATCAGTTGGAAAAGTAATGGATTATATGGAGAGGAGCAACTTTTCATTCTAGATGTTGTTGATTCTGGATGCCAGCTTTAAACAACCTGTTTTCTGACAAATCTGTGACTATAAAATGATTATTTCTGTAAGTGATCATTTCTACAAAATGATTGCCCCTTCAAAGCACTGTGCCAGATGGAAGTATTTAAAATCAAGTTGTAGTGGCTTTGTCAAAATTTCAGTCCTCCACCTATAGGTTCCAAAGACAAAAACACATTGCTCATAGTCTTCAAATATCTTTTCTTTAAAACTTCACTTAGTCATTTAAAGATGGCAGTGATTCAGTAGGCACACTTGTAGGTATTGTGGTAATCAGTTTACAGCATATAATTTTCTTTGTATCTGTATTAAGAACATAAAGGATAACTGACAGCTTTACTCTTTTTTTTTTTTAAAAAAACAATTCTACCTTCATTTCCTTAACTTTTTATTTCATTAAAAAAAACCCCACAAAACCCTCTCTCTGTAACCTTACCACTGATGCTGGTACCATTTACAGTGGTAATTGTATTATTTATTTTTTAAGTTATATGCACATAACCTCACATATTTAATGTGTAGACATAGAACATCAAGGATAGTCACGAATTATGCACACACATGGCACACTATGCATGTATATTTTGCATGTGTATTGTGGGCAACTTGCAGTTATTTGTTTGCAAAGGACTTTGCAGATCTTTTGTCTCATCTATTGACATAAGTACTAGATCCCCACAGCACGGTGAGCACTTTTCTGGTTGTCTCTGAGCACCGGCACAGGCCAAGGACGGTTAGGCCAAGGACGCTCCTCTCTCCCTTTTCAGTCCGCACCAGTCCCCGTTTTCGTCAATCCCGAGTCGACCCTGGGTTAGGCCTGGGATGATCAGCGAGCGCATCCAGCTTCACGTCTCTCATTCCTCGATTTAGGAAAACGCTCAGGTTCTTTCCATTTGATTCCCCGGGGGAATGAGGAGGGGAGGAGGAAATCGAAGGCAGTTGAAAAAGGGGGAAAAAAAAAAAAATCTTCCCGCAGGCGTGGGTTTAAGAGCTGGGAGAGGCCTACTCTGAGGAGCTTGAGCTCCGCCGGGCCCCGGGCTGGAAGCCGGCGAGGCCGCGCCTGGGCCCAGCGCCCCCGGGTAGGTCGAGGGCAGGGGTCGGAGCCCCGGCGCTCGGCGGTCGCGGCTTCAGGCCGCGTCTCAGGAGGGGGCGTGCGGGTTGGCGCTCCAGCTTGACGCCTTCTCCTCCTCCCCAGGCGTGAGCGACAGCTCCCCCTACCACAGCCCCAAGGTGGAGGAGTGGAGCAGCCTGGGCCGGAACAACTTCCCCGGGGCCGCCCCGCACGCGGTGAACGGGCTGGAGAAGGGAGCCCTGGAGCAGGAAGCCAAGTACGGTCAGGTGAGGAGGCGAGGGCCCCGCCGGGTGGGCCGCGAGGCGGCGGGGGTTTGCGCGACGGGGGACCCAGGTCGATGTCCGGAGCCTCGACCGAGGGGAAGCCCAGGCCGAGGGTCCGTCCCTGCCGGGGGTCTTACCCCGGGCGGGTGAGGCGGGCCCGGGGCCGCGGATCGTCCAGGGCGGAGTGGAGGCCTCGAGTCCCCGCCAGGAGCTCCGGGGGCCTGGGGCGGTGGAAGTGGTTCCAGGCCCGTGTGGCGTCTGCAGGAGCGGGGGGGCGCGCCCGGAGCCCCCGGCGCTGCTGGCACAGGGGCTGGGGACCCCTGCGAGGCGCGTCCGCGGGGCCCGGCGACGCGGCGGGGTTGTCAGGGCGGCACCCGCCAAGCGCACGCCCGAGGTCGCGGCCTGCGGGGCTGCGGGCTGCGGGGTCTTCACGCTCGGACAGTTCTCCGGCGGTCGCTCCCGGAAAACAAACGTGGCTCAACCTGCGAGAGTGAGGAGAGGGCAACCAGATAAACGTAATAAAGTTTCCATTTCCCGATTAAAGGTCACGGTGTAATCTCCCAAGGGAGGTTTGTGAGAAAACCTCAAATTATACGGACTGGCTGTGGACCGTTTAATTTTTCTTTCCCTTTGTCCCTCCCCCGACTCTGCAAAAGAAAAATTAAAACACTCGTGTTTTTTTTTTCCCCTTCCCCCGAGAAAAACTTAGAAACCACCACCACAAAAGCCCTAGAGTTTTGAGTCTAAATTCATCACCAGGATGGAGTCCGAGGCGCAAAGCTCTGAAAAACAAACAAACAAACGCGGACCTTAAGGCAGCCTAAGGTATCTTAGAGCAGATTTGGGTAGATCTGCAAATTGCCTAATACCAAATTCCAATGCCAAAGCCTCAAAATACCCAGTTTTCGTTTTATTATTTTGAAGTCATAAAACTCTTAGTGTTTTCTTATCTGTCAAAAATCAGCATTTTACTTGTTATTTTTATTCACTTGGGAAAAAATCCTAATCCTTGTTTTCTCGAAAAAAAAAAACCCATCTCCACTTTCTTTTCTCTCCCTTATTTTGCTAAAACAGTGTCAGATACGTTTAGTAGCTGTCCCATGACAAACATCCCAGAAAATAGCAGCGAAGAAAGAGTCCCTTTCCTGAGTCTGTTTCTACCTTAAAGAATGCCAAGGAGAAATGATATGAAAGCTTGCCATTTTCTTTTATAAAAAGCCCCTCATTCATAAAGAAGAGGCAGTACATACAATGGTTGGGAACTCCGAGCTTCTGGCATCTGTTGTCACTAAAGCAAGTTATTTAACCTTTTAACACCTGTATTTCTTCATCTGTAAAACGGGGAAATAATAGCCCCAACCTCAGGAGATGTTGTGAAGATTCAATGAGATAATGCAGCCATATGGCGCACAGTAAGCATCCCTTTAATAGTACCTGTGGTTTTAAGTGGCAGTTATAAGTGGCGGTTAGAGACTGACCTAAACAAGCAATTTTTTTTCTTTTGGTGCAAATATACTTTGTTCAAAGATATCATAGTTAAAAAGTGTCAAGGCATTTTGTTCCAAACATTAGAAGGAGTGTTTTTAAAGCATCTAGCATAGTAGCAAGCATTTAATAGAAGCTCAGTAGTTTTTATTGGGTCATCATTTGTTATAATAACATCAGGAAGTAAAGAGTTGAAAGATTTTAATTCTCACAAATAGTTGGTAAACCCAGCTTATATATAAAGCAGTGTCATAATTCAAAAATCTTTGGTTATTTCATTTTTTTCTCCCTTGAATTATAGATCTAGTGTTCATACTCATTTAGAAATTTATACACACATATCAAAACAACACTGACCAATTTAAAATAAAAATAGAGCACTGATTCAAATAATCTTCTCTGTATATTCTGAATATTAAAATTCATTACATTTGAACACTGAATATTATATCACTAAATTATGAGATTTATAAAAGCAAGTAAATGAAAGACATAAGTGGCCAAATAAGTATTGTTCTAAATACATAAGAGGACAAGTTAATTTTTTTTCCAGATGAAAAAGATATTTAGATCTTAAATTTGGAAACTTTTTTTTTTTTTAAGACTTTATTTATTTATTTATTTGAGAGTGGAAAGGAGAGACTGTACTAACAGAGGGAGGGGCAGAGTTAGAAGCAGACTCCCTGCTGAGCAGGGAGCCTGCCTGGGGACTCATTCCCAGGACCCTGAGATCATGACCTGAGCTGAAGGCAGACCGACTGAGCCACCCAGGTGTCTCAAATTTGGAAAATTCTTAATTGCAGTATGGTAATCTTCTGCATTGCCATGTAGTACTATAATTCAGATGATGTAAAATTTCAAAACTTGAAAAGTTTCTAAGCACAATTAAATCAGTGGTTACTCTGTTATAATTATCAATACAGTGCTTAATGATGAGGGTGTGCTAAGTAGGCACAGAAATTTAGGCTGTGTCATTTTGTGAGCAGTTTTGGAATTTAGACATTGATTTTCTTGAGGGTAAAATTCTATACTAATACTTGCTCATAAACAAAAAAGCAATAGTTAGGTGTCGTGTGTGTGTGTGTGTGTGTGTGTGTATGTATGTAAATATGTGTGCATTTCTCTTACCAATATTCAAATGGCAGCTTTAGTTTTAAAATTTATTTTTCAAAATGTTATTAGAGTAAGTACACTTTTACAACAAAAATGTAAACTTAAGTAACATTTCTCCTCTATTTGTATTATCAAAAAAAATTGAAAGGTTTTGACAAAAATTTCTCAAATTATGCACATAATACTTTCAGGGCACTTATAATTTTTATTAAATAGAGGAACATTATATGACCCCAGTTTCATTTTAGTATATAGAGGAAGAAATTGAGAATTCAGAATCATAGGAATTAGAGCATAATCTTTTCCCCGAAGACACCTGTAAAATTACCAAAGGGACTGAATTGACAACTAATTGTAGGTACTAGTGATTACTGTAAACTAGAGTTTCTATTTTCAGTTTAAACTGAAAAAAAAAAAAAAGAGATGCCTGATCACTAGTAATTAGAACCTTATGCACATTTCTGCTATATACACACCTATCTTTTGTTTTTTAAAATACTATAGAATATTCAAATTTGTCTTATTGATATTATATTGAAGTCAATATTTTTTTATTACCATTCAGAAGTCCTTATTATCTATCCTTGAGGATAGAAGAGGAAGAATATTTATTTGTTTTGGCTTTTTTCACCTGCATTTAATATTGGGCTAGAAATCCTTAGTATCCTCTAATTCTGAATGGCAACCGTGTTCTCTGGTTCCTAATGCTGGTTCTCTTCTTTTGAAAACATAAAATCTCTACTGAATGCAATTGTATGGCAAAGAAAAGGGTGGGGGGAGTTTGAATATATCTGCCCTTTTACATGGCACTTAGTGAATTAACACTTCATTTTATTTAAAGAGTTTATAATTTTTTTTTAAAGGATTTTATTTATTTGACAGACAGAGATCACAAGTAGGCAGAGAGGCAGGCAGAGAGAGAGAGGAGGAAGCAGGCTCCCTGCCAAGCAGAGAGCCCGATGCGGGGCTCCATCCCAGGACCCTGAGATCATGACCCGAGCCTAAATCAGAGGCTTAACCCACTGAGCCACCCAGGTGCTCCTAAAGAGTTTATAAATAGTTGTATAGTTCTTGAAACATTTTCTACAATTGGGCATACTTTCTCATAAAAAAAATATATTGCATATCTGGTACTCTGAAATAATCTGAATGTTAGATTAACAAGCTTTGAGTATGTCTAATTTTGGGTAGTGTATGTTAACTCAGCAAGTTTAATATAACATTAGCTACAAATTGAGCTGTCAAAGATGGGGAATAGTCTATACAAACATGAACTTAAGAAGTTTAGAGTTTTAAGAGTTAAATGAATTGTGAAAATCGTTGGATTTCAAGGCAAATTAATCTGAAATTCTTATGGATCATTTATTTGTATATTGTATTTGAAATATAGTATTTCAGAATCATGAATATAATGTTCTAGTGCATTGTTTTAAACACTGGTTGTCCTTGCAGACATAATGTATTCATGAAAATATAAATAAAGTTGCACTGGATTTTTTATCTTATGAAATAAAGTTAAATTTGTCTTAAATAATTGATAAGTTTGTAGAGAGTCCAACTGTAGGCAAATACCAATAGAGAGACTTTGAAATTCATGATGTTATCTATTATGAAAAACATTCCTTGACCTGGGTTGCTTTGAACTATTAGTGCCTTAAAACAAGATTAATGATTATGTAGTAGTAAAATGTGTCATATAAAATACAAAAAAAAAAAGTAATTTGAAATTTTTTCAAGGCTACCTTAATTTTCATATTTTGGAAACATAAAATTTAGGAAAAAAAATTTAAATAGCAGCTTTGCATTACCTAACGACTTTTAGATCTACAGTGTGATAACTCAGCATAATTAAGATCTTTTTGGATGAATGTTGAAACCATATTTACAGCCATCATTTCACTTTATCGGACTTGTTTTACTAGATCATTGCATAGTGAATTAAGAAAGGTGGGTAGAACAACAGTAAAAAAAGATTACACCCGAAAGAGAAAATCTTGTTTATTCTCAGATCTGAAACTTTTTTTCTAATGATATGGAGGCTAAATTCTAGGTGAAGCACATCTCTGTTTGTGGCTAAATCTACTTTCCATAAAGCCAAAGTAAACCCATTTTATCATAAGGGGAGGACCAGGTAGAACTGATGAGTGGATGGAAGATTGTGGGTACAGGACCTGACACTATTATCTGCATTTTCTTCAAGAGAGAAAATGTTGAGTAGACAATTCCCTGAATGTGAAGACTACTGGTCTATAACTTGTAATTGCCAGACAGTTGTCATACCAGTTTTGTTTTGTTTTTTATTTTTGGGGGTTTTTTTTGTGTGTGGTCAGAAGTGTTTGGATATTAATGCATTTCCATTTTCTTTGTGCGTGTGTGTGTGTGTGTGTGTGTGTGTGTGTGTAAATGGAACAAGCATAAATCAAATAGTGAATGGCTACGTTAGAACTTTTATTTACTTTTTTCAACAGCTTTATTCATGTTGCTTACTTAAAGTGTACCGCCAGTTCTGTGATAGAGTGCCTAGTTTTCTGTTGTTGTTGTTGTTGTTTTTTTTTTTTTTAAAGCAAGACTCGCTTCTTCTGCTTTCAAAAGGCTGCACTAACTTAGGTGTGCACATGATTCCGAAACACCTATGATGTGTCCTGTTTTCTGAGAACACTGAAGTGATTAAGGCAAGCTCCTGTCCTCAAACTGTTTGTAGTCCAGCTCTCTCCCAATACAGCTTCTCAACATATTAATTTAAAAACATATTTTTAAAAACTGACAAATCTGTATTTCTAACATTTTAAGAACAAGTAAAATGAAAACTCATGCTTTCATTCAAACCTGAACTGGACATTGTATTTTTTTTTCCCTAGACTATTTCCTTTAATGCCAGTGAGATAAAAATCTGTCTTCTTCTCAAAACATTCAACAAAGCAAGGAACTTACTTTTTTTAGGGCATGCAGTTTGGTATATTTTACTTTGAATTAGTAAATCTCACTCTCAAAATTAGGTAGAAGAGAGTTTGCTTCAGGGAGGCTCCTTGTACAGTTCTCTGGAGGAGAGGATTCTCATGGCTTTTATGGCAGATCCACATAAAAAAAGGGGTTGATGGACTGAGGTCTTATTTATGAAAGCTGTAGGTAAAGTCATTTTCAAAAATGAGATTTCCATTACGTGCCCATTGCTGGGGTTTCATTTGGAAAATTTGTTTACTCTTCTCTGGGGATTCCATATGTTGGTTGATTTATAAATCATATTTACAATCCAATTAAATAGAGTAATTTGGCATGTTTGCTCCTATTATATTTATGGTGTACATTTGGTAGTCTCTACTCAGCCTAACTAGCTTTTCAGATTAATTACATGCCCTTCACTGAAAACATTAAACAGATTTGGGAAGTTTAAGTCATGTACTCTTCTACTGGAAAGAATAAACAAACATCAATGCTACCTGTAGTTGTTTTCCTTTGTGGTGGAAAATTTTACTTATTCAGTGATTGCTTCATAAATAACAATTATTTTATCCAGTAGAGATTTATATCTTTTACTGATGTCTGATGTCATGTTTCAAAATTAATAGTGAGAAAATCAATAGGTTTATTGAGTCACTGAATGAATGAATAGTGAAGGTGGCAGGTACATTTTAAAGCATGTTTGTCATCTCATCTTTCTTATGCTGCTTTTTTCTAAATTGCTAAATCTGACCTTTAAAAGTAAAAAGGAAAATTAAGACAAAACTTTTTAACCCCAAATCTGGGTCATGATTTAACCTGAGGGAAAGCTGAGAGTTGTTTTTATACTGTTTAAAGATTTCTGTGGTTTTCTTTTTTTTCTTTTAAGCAAACGCTTTTGCCTCCTCTTGCCTTTACTAACAAGATGGGATCGAACCTCTTTGAGCTTCCCTTCTTACTCCATTTCTGCAATACAGAGGGTACTGCCTCACTAAAATGACACTAAACATGTTGTGGATTTTAGAGAACTTTGAAATATTTAATACTAATAGTAATACCAACATAAAAGCAAATTTGGTGCCTTAAGTATGAGCAATTGGACAAATATGGAAAAAATTAGTAGTATTTATTTTATGCTCGACAAACAATGTGGTCACAGAATAAGTAAGGCACCTGAAGGTAACACAGGCCTATATCCAGTGTTCTTCCTTGCACTGAATCCCAGGAGCATTATGTAAGATGAGAGTCCAGTCAGGCCCAATTTCTCAGGGAGGATGTTTCAGGGAAAAAAGAAGTGGGTCCATGTAAGGGGATTATAGACATTGCAATGTAACAGGTGGAGAGCCCCAAAGAAAGGGCTATTCCCATCAAGGAATAGGTGGTTCTACTGATCAAGGTTCCAAGGGCAAGGGTGTAAGGGGAGGAAGGGGAAGATGATGAAGCAAGTGTTTCAGAGGAAACTGTAATTGTGCATGATAGGAAAAAAATTCAAAGGATAAAGAATGAGTAAGGAAACACTTAGCTGTCATGAAAATTAGAATTCATCAACACATTTTTTGGCTAACTAGAGCATTATTTCTGTCATGTATAATATCAAATAGTTTAACCTTCTATCCTTGTAAAGGGTTGGGTAAAGGTTTTCACTATTTTAAAAATAATTTTAACCTTAACATTCTTATTTTATGATTCTTGGTGACACTGGTGTCAACAGTATATTAATCTAGAACGAAAGAGGCCAATACAGATGCAAATACATTTCTATAAGTGGACTGGAATGATTCCTTCTGAAACGCATTTCTTGTGGATTATTGGGAAAATTGTCCACGAACATGATTGGAGCTATAATCTCTATGCAATGCTAGATTTCTTCCACAATTTGAGAGCTATCTTACTCACCTTCGGAGAGCCTTAGAGTGTGTCCTCTTTGAGCCATTCTCTTATGAGCCATCCTCAGAAAGGGGGGAAAGATTTTTTTTTTTTTTAGAAGTTAAGAAACAGAATGAGGATCTAACAATGAGAATAGGGTTCTAGAAGGAGAAAGAATCTTTTACAAGAGGTTATCTCAAAAGATGCCCTAGTTTGATCTTAAATTGTGTCTGTCTATTAATTGTCCTGGAAAAAGCAAGAAAAGATTTGCCACAGAGGTTCCCATGTCAGACAGGGGTGATAACTTCTTTAAAGACATGACCATTGACTTGCCAATTGGCCTGGGGTAAATGGCTAAATTCCTTGATCTACATTCTTGGGTATAAAAAGAGGTTAAGATTTCATTTATATTTTAAAGTGATGTGCAGTGATTTCTTTGTTTAAAAAAAAAAAAAAAGAGGACCATCTCATGGGACCCTTGAAATACATTTTAATTTTGATTGAACATTGTGTTGTAATCATTACATATTATCATTATAAACCCAGTAGTTTATAATGAGCTACAATTTACCAATCTTCATTATTCCATAAAATATGCTGGATATTTCTTCATGCCTGGAACATAGGACATATTCAAAAAGCCTTAGTGTCCTTTCCCCTTCCTCATTTTTCAAAGAATAGGCACTTTGACAACCAGAACAGGAGGTATGTGTTCTTACAGACCAAGTACACGAGGATAACCCCTCTATTTGAATTCTTCTTTAGTCAGAAATCCATGAGCAGTGTTAAGTCATACCCATGTTTATTCTACTCTGTGTATTACTCTAAATTGACAAAATCCTTTTTGAGAGCCCATCCTTGCATTCTCATAGATGTGGAAATGAAAATAATAACCAAATGAATTAAATTGGAAAATAATTTCTATGTTGCAATTGAATTGGAAAAAGCATCTAATTAACATATGTCTGCTTTTCTTACCTCTAAGGATTGAATCAGATTTACTACTAGTAATTCTAGTATTTACACTACACTCTCACTAGGAGATATGTTGATATGTTAATGCATTCACATCACTACCAGGGAACAGATTTACTCCTTATTTCTAAATAATGTAGAAATTGAGGGGAAAAAATAAGTTACTTGAAGGAGGATGCCAAGTGTTCATGCCAGAATCGGGATTATAAATCAGGGTGTTTTTGTTGTTGTTAATAGTAACAATACCAACAATTTATTGGATGCCAAGAGAGCACTGGTTTCTAGGCAAAATCGCTTGCCAGGGCTGCTGCATTTTGTTTGCAAACTCAGATTTTACATTTAAATTCATTTCAAGAGATTTATCCATGTGGCTTTAAAAAATTCCTATCACAGGACCCCAAAACTTTGCAAACCAATTTTCCAGTTTTAAACCACACATATGCAATTCTTTTATATTCCAATAGACAGTTTCCTTTTTGATAAAAAAGCTCTGGGAAAAAAAAAATACCTCCAATTTTCATTTAAAAACTCTTACAACTACGTGATTTTGCATGTCCTTTGTCCAACAGGCATTTTCAACATGACATTTTAAAATACGGCCCATGTTTTATTTAACAAAGGTCGTGCTCATTTTGAGTTTCTAAAGTGACAGCCTACACTCTGTGCCCTTCTTTACTGGAAATGAAAGCTACACCAACCAGGCCCTTCACAAATGCTTCAACAAAAGAGCCAAACAAAACCAAAGTACAGGGAAGGTTGACAAAGGCATTTCGGATAGCTGAACAGCTTCTGAGAGTATTTAATCGCCATTAATTCTTTCCTCCCCCTCTATTTCCTTCCTATAATTCCAAATAGCAAAGCAAATATTGTGAATTTTCGGGTCGTAGCCTCCTCAAAACCTCTGTGGAAGGAATAATGTCTTTCGGCATTATGTTTGGGTAGTACCAGTCTTGCTGCTCAAACATACTGCATGTAGAATATAGAGATCGAATCTTTAAAAAAAAAAAAATCAGACAGTAGTCAGAATATTGCTACTGCTACTCCAAACTTACATTCTGCCACTTTCTGAAAACCGGTGCCATGTCAGCTGCTACAATGTGATTACCTTCCCCTCTTCTCTTTTCCTACTCTCAGGCACCAAATGGTCTACCAGCTGTCAGCAGTTTTGTGTCCGCATCCAGCATGGCTCCTTACCCTACCCCGGCCCAAGTGTCGCCTTACATGACCTACAGCGCCGCTCCTTCCGGTTATGTGGCTGGACACGGGTGGCAACATGCCAGCGGCACCCCACTGTCCCCCCACAACTGTGACATTCCCGCATCGCTGGCGTTCAAGGGAATGCAGGCAGCCAGAGAAGGTAGTCACTCTGTCACGGCTTCTGCACTCTGATGGGAAATTCTGTCCGCACCGCAGCTTCACCCCGTCTCCCCTCAGCCTACCCTCCCCCTCCTCCCTGGTCTCAGATCCCAGCCCTCCTGCCCTCCGCCCCCCAAAGCTGGCTTACGGACTCAAATCCATTGTGCTGTTGAGTGCTGATGACACTTAAATATTTCTTGCCATAACTTCTCTCTTACAGAAAGCCTGACATGACTTTAGGATTTGAAAACAAAAGCAATCTTAAGGATTGAATGAGACATTTGTGTTGCCCACACACTGTTTTAACGTAGCAAAGAAACCTGCACCCCTCAAAGGGCTTAAGGAACTTTTAAAACTAGTCTTTGGTAAAACCACATGTGTATATTTATTCTAAATCAACCTGAACTTTTGAAACGTGCAATTGTTGAGATTTTGCAAAATCAATAAAGGAAAATACATAGAGAAAAGAAGTTATGCTACACCCTCTAATCAAATAAGGTGACCAAATAAGCTTTAATTCATCATTAGGAAACTAATCAATAATTGACTTGAGTGATGCTTTGTTTATTCTTAATAGATGACCTATTTTGTTCGAAAATATAATTGTAACACAAGCAATATCTGAATTTAGCTGCTCCTGGTGTTTTGACTTGGTTCCAAATACAATAATGTTTATATTTTCTATTAGTTTGTAAATATGGACTCTGGATGGTGCATTTGTGTTTTCATTCCATGGGATATTCCCCCTCCCTCCTACCCCTATCTATTTTTTTCTTTCTTTTTGCAAAGGTGACTTTCTGGCAGCGTCTTTGTCTCTGTTTGGTGGTGGGCTGCTCGGGCTCCTGGACCTGGACTTGCCCCAAATTTTGTGTGTGCAGTGAAGGCTTCAACATCTTATGAAGGACATTTTCTTTCTACAGCAGAGGACTCAAAAACAGATTAAACAAGCCAGTCTCCCATTTTGTATCCTAATCAAACAACACACATGCCAAGCATATAAAGACACGAGGGTGGAAAATATCTGGACAAGAAGGCTTTTAAGGAAGTCACTTAGAAACTTAAGTTTAATGTGAAATGCTTTGCAAAGACACTTAAAATGAACTTTATGTTAAGAAAACCACTGTGAAACTAAATTGTACTGTTATTGTTGGCTTACCTGTGTGTTCAGCAATCTCAGCCCAAAATTATGTTGTAATTTAAAGAAAATGGAAAATTCTGCTCTAATGAATGTAAAAACGGCTTGCTGTGAAGTTTACGTTGTTGTACAGAAGCATGGTTCACGTCGAGGTAGACTGGTGGTGGTATTAGAAATACAAATGCTATTTAATTGTTTTAAATTCCCTTTATTCATTTCTGGAGTTACAGGACATAGTTTCCATCTTTCTAGAACAGTTGGGTTTTCACTTCAATGTTAATCGCAGAGCTGTGGGGTATACGTGTGTGTGAGCGTGTGCTATGTGTTGTAGTTTAAAACAACTGCTTTTCTTGGGCAAAATTCTACAGTTTTTCTCTTCTGTTTAGAAAGTTCTTCCTGCTTGGCAATATGTAGGCTTGAAACTACATTTTTAAAACATTGGTACAATTCATCTATTGGAAAATTAATATATTGTGGGTTTTTTTTCTTTTGGTATTAATTCTGTGCAATAACTAAAAGGGCACATCACTAGATGTGGATGTTAAAGAAGCATTTGTGAGGTGATCCTGATTTCTTCCTGTCTGTGCTATGCACAGTCCACACAGCAGTCCAGTTCCGCCACATCGGTTTCATGGCTTCACTTAAACTCAGATGACTAGACGAGCGAGGTTTCAGATCACTAGCGTATAAACAGTAAGCAGATTTCTGACACAGAAGTTATATTTGAGGAATTGCTTGCTTCAAGCAACAGCTATCTTATAGAGAGAGCTTTGAACTGCATTTATTTCTAAAGCAAAATTCAGTGCTACAAACAGAGGATTATAACTTCAGGAGAAGAATAAGCAGAAGGAGCAGATGAACTCTCAGGGCCATAGTCTTCCTTTGATCTTCTAAAACTCCTGTTGACATCTGGAGTTCCCAGTCTGGTGAGAAAATAGACTATAAACCGAATGGAACGAAGATACCAGTCCAATATCTTGGTGGAGACTTTAAAACCATACCATACAGGGACTCTCCTGCCGTCCAGAAAAACTGACATAAGGTATAGAATTATCCCTTATCAGATATTTTTTTAGATGGCTACTAGGAGTCTTTAAAAAAATACCAATCATTTGTATGGAAACACAATGAAATATTATTTTATCTAAATTAAGAAATCTCTTGTTAATGCTATTTATAATTTTTTCTGGTTCTTGTATTTTTAAAAAATCTAATGTTAATGATATCAAGATTTTTTTTTTCCCTTTTCCCCCCAGGTCTTTTCTTAGCAACAGTGAATTCACATGGAGTAACTTAAGAAAGACAACAGAAAGTTAAAATGCGATTTGCTATTTAAAGCAAAATATGATTTAAAGCTACTTCTAAAAATCAAAGAAGGAAAATGGGATGGGGTAGGGGATTGGGATTGTTTGATTTATAAATGCTATTATACTGGCTAATGTTGACATATTTCCTTTGTTTTTTAGGGGGTAAAAGTGTTGTTTTTAAACTGGCAAATGCACTCTTCAGAGATCCTTTTCCATCCCATTCACAGGGAGAGGTTAAAGGTTCAATTTCATGGCCTCTATGCAGGCATTTCTCTCCCTCACAAGATGCAAGAACGTTACCTGCAAGGATAGAACACAGTTGTACAACAGACACATTCTTATTTCTCTTGTTTAATGACCCTCTTCTGGAATATTGGGCTGAAATATAAATTAAAAACCACGTTGGAAAGGATGTACAACCGAAGGCTGTGTATGTATATACAGTATGTCAAAAAGCCTTTATTTTTATACTTCAAATGCTCTAAATTAATAAAAAGTAATAATTATCATGTTATCTTTTATTTTTTATTTTCAAAATGCTTTAGTGACCTAGCCTCACGGTAGAAATATGCCTCAGTAGTAGTTAAGAACAGGTGTCATCTAGAACGGGCAGATATTTTGGTTGACTATAGCTACTGAAGTAGCATCATTTCAGGATGCAAATATAAAATCGAATCTGGTTATATCCGTGCCAAGGAGCTGTTTCTTAGAGTGCATGTTAGTACAGGAATCTTTGGAAATGCTAAGAATGTACTTCTATTTTGAAACATTTTCCCCTTCATAGTACACATTTTAACACCACAGATAGTTGACTTCACACCTGAAGCTGTCACTTAAAATGGGTAACTTGGAAATGTAGTTCTTCTTTTTAAGAATGGCAAAGGTAAGAGGTCTGAACAAAGATACCTGGATGCAAATACAGACAGCAAAAATGGGCCCAAGGAGTGGTTCCAACTGTGTGTTTTTTTTTTTTTTTTAAGATTTTATTTATTGATTTGACAGAGAGAGATCACAAGTAGACAGAGAGGCAGACAGAGAGAGAGAGAGAGGGAAGCAGGCTCCCCGCTGAGCAGAGAGCCCGATGCGGGACTCGATCCAGGACCCTGAGATCATGACCTGAGCCGAAGGCAGCGGCTTAACCCACTGAGCCACCCAGGCGCCCCCCAACTGTGTTTTAACATGAAAATATTTCAGCAAGAAAAACCATTTTCAAAGGGAATTATATGAAGGAAATTTTCATGTGTTCTATTTGCCACAAAAACCTTCATGTATCAGGATTTAAAAATGTGACCTGCTTTAAACAACAGTGCAAAATATAAAGTAGTTTTGGGAAAATATAGTTGTGATGTATATTATTACTCTAAAGACCACCACCAGATTTAAATTTTAACATAAAATTCAACCTTTTAAAAATGCCATTTTAGTGTACTTTAAAAACAATTTCCTTGTGCCTTTTAAATATTATTTATGGGAGAATTTAATTCCTTATAAAAACTGTTCAAATTTTGGCTTTTTTTTTTATTACTTTAAGCATTTCTTGACCTCATGGGAAAAACTTATCAATACAATGGATTTTCACTGTGAAGCAGTGTAAGGAATACAGAGCATGAGATTTATATAGCTTTTATGAAATATATCTAATTTCTATGCTATTTTTTATGTTCAATTTACATACCTCATTACTTCATACTATTTTTCTTCTCACAGATTTATGGATATGGCCAAAACCACAGTCTCAAATTGTCTAGAGATAATTTCTGAAGTATCAAAATAGGTTTTGTTCTTGATTAAATTGTTCCCCTTTAATGACTGTACGTAATTGTATAATTATAATTTACAATCATATCAGCTGAGCTGATAGTCTCTCCTTACGGTGCTGTAGAGCAAATATCCATGATTTCAACACTTCCTAGGCAATCACCAGTTCTCCTGAAGCCATGAATGGGTGTACTCATAAACCAGCAGCATCACTGCACCACCTAGAAAAGAAAAGAGCTGTTTTTTTTTTTTTTTTTTTTTTTTTAACAGAGATCACAAGTAGGCAGAGAGGCAGGCAGAGAGAGGAGGAAGCAGGCTCCCTGCTGAGCAGAGAGCCCGATGCGGGACTCGATCCCAGGACCTGGGATCACAACCGATGCGGGACTCGATCCCAGGACCCTGGGATCACGACCTGAGCCGAAGGCAGAGGCTTTAACCCACTGAGCCACCCGGGTGCCCCGAAAAGAGCTGGTTTTTATTTCAAATCTGGCAAAGTAGTGTCACTTGCCCCCAGTGGGTTTCTGAATCTGTGAAGTCCCATGCAGCCTATCAGGCAGAGGCTGTGTAGATTTGTCAGTCCTTGGGCTCTAATACATCGATAGAAGGCTACCGTGGAAAATTCTCAGAGCAAAATCAAGACCATCTTGAGTCTCCAAATACCCAAATACATTTTTTCTCTGAGTTTCTGTAACTTTCATCATTTCTCATCAGATTCTTTTTCAGGCACTTTTAATTTTTTTAAAGTAAATAAATATAGACACATTTAGTCATGTAAGGACATGTGGTATTCCTGAAAACAGAAACCATTCATATTTTTCATATGTAGGCAAAGGATTTATCTTTTTCAGTCCACCATTAGCAGTCCTAATTGCATTCTAGAAGGAAAGCTCTAAGAGGGTGCTTGATAGATGAGTCTAGTTCTCTCTTATGGCCTTCAAATTGTATTGCAGTGTGAAAAATAGCTTCTGAATATTTGAAAATGTACATATTACAAAACATAGCCAGCTTTTAACCTCCTTTTGCTTTTATTTTCTCTGCCTCAGAGACTTGAAAATTTGGTGGTGGGGTTTGAGTGTCACAGACCACTATTTGTCTTGAAAGGTCAACAGGACTAGGATACAGAAAAACAAACACTGATGTTACCTAGAAATCAGGAAAGGCCTTTGCATGTGGATGATTTTGTGTTCTACCTGATGCAATAAATGACACAAATCCCATGCTCTTGAATCTACCTATTCTCTCATGTCTGTGTGAAAAATACTACAAAATCAAGATGTGAACAAATATCCTGAGCTCTACCTCAAGAAGATTGGGCTGCATGAATAGAAGATTGACTTCTGATGAAAAGAACTATAACTTGATTTTGATCTTCGTTCTTGTGTACACACTGCTGTGTGTGTGTGTGTGTGTGTGTGTGTGTGTGTGTGTGTTTTAATATACAGGCCACACATGTTTGTGTAACCTTATACCAAAGATAATTATCTGCCTGTAATTTTCATTTTTAACCCATGAAGATACTTTGTGAGACCCCTCTCAGCTGCTGAAGCTCTCTTGGCACTCTGGCAAACAAGAAAAGACCCACTAAGAGAGGGTTGTTAATACCTATGTAATTGCTGTGTTTACTCTTATTAACTGTTCTCAGCGTAGGACAAGAACACACAGAAGGGGGTCAGTTTTCAGCCTGGTGATATTTGGAGCTTCAAGAGCCTCCTTTCATGGGAGGTGACTCATTGTGAGCCACATGGAGCTGCTTAGGCTGTTACAAAAAGAAGATGGGATGCTTCCTACAACGAAGGATGAAAATCCCAAATATACCCTTTCTTCCACTTTTTTACTCTCTCTGAAAAAAAATAATCTTATCCTTAAGTCAAATGTCATACTTTCCTCTCTACCTTTCTTTCCTTTAAAGCTGCTGGGACTTGCGTGTTTGGGGGACTTACATATGAGTGGAGGCCAGGCTCCTGAGGGAGATTTCCAGTCATTCACAGTTTTGTTTAGCCTGGACAGTCCATTCACAACAACACTTTTCATTGTATTTAACACCACAGCAACTAAGGACACCTCATGCAAAAACATTTAAAAAGCCAACCAAACATTTGCAAGCCTCTAACAAAACTTGGGGTCAGATTATTTAAGAGTTTTGGATTAAGGTTCCAGTCAATTACTGTTTTAGGTAAACTCTCCCTGATCACCACTCTTTTCAGGCCCATCCCCTCCTGACAAAGCTGGGTTAGGGTCATTCCTATGATTTTCTCTAATACTAGGTCTACCAGCAGGGTTTTTACTGTGTGGTGAAGGGAAAACACCACATGCTCACAGAGAGAGTTGCACAAAATCACCAATATTCTTTGTCATTGGCTTTGTTTTTACACATGGGCCCATGACTAACAGGGGGCAAGTCTCAATCTCAAATGTGAAGCAAAATCTGTGCTTAAATGCCTAAAAAAGTGGGGCTAGATGGAGTGGGAATTGTGGAAGTGTTTTCTAAATACATGAAAGGGTGAGCTGTCCTCTGCCTCAGGTTGGTAGAAATGCTGGCTCACTGGGCTGAGGTTCAACAATGGTAAATGTGCCTGTGTGTAAGTGTGGTAGGGCGGGAGGACCAGGGGTGTTAAAAGGGAGGAATGGGGAGGGGAGAGGAGCAGAGGAAGCTTCTGAGAAAGGATACAAGGATGCCTACGTAGGTGAGTGTGGCCTGGTAAAAAGACAGACGAGGGCTGGTGCCTACTTCTGTGCTTAGACATGGGGTTGCTTATAATCCAAGACTGTTTGCCTAGGCAGTTGGGTCTGCAGTAGTTATGTTCTTATCTATTGACACAGAGGCAGCTGACTCTCCCTGTGGGAACGGCAGCCAGTTTTTTTTGTGGGCTGGCATCTGGAGGTAAGGCCCCGAGCCAGGAGCCTCCACCATCATGCCCACAGAGGCCCAGAAGGTGAGTGCCAGGTTGCAGCACTCACCACAGGCCTCCCAGGTGACAGTGAGGATAAGTGGCTCCTGCACTTCATGGAGGCAAGTTACACTTCCTTTTTGTTTTTGAAATGAAGTTGAGGCAGGAATAAGAATGAACTTTGGGGATGAGGGGGGAGGGCACCAGGAGAGTTTTATTCGGCTGATCCCTCCCTCAGTGAAAATCCTCCCCGCACAGCCTCCTTCTTGCTCACTCAAACTCCCAACTGGCTGTGGATCCCTTCCTATTGACTTAAGCTGGGCTTTGGCTTCTATAAGCCTCCAGCAAAGTCTTAAATAGTAACTCATAAACAAAGGTGGAAAACATTTCTAATGGATGCCTTCAGTGTCTTGAATACTTGTTGACAACTTTGTATCCTCAAGGTTTCCATTTTTCACAGTGGGATCAACCCTGATCAATAGGAATGAAAAAACAGACACTAGAACAACAAAGAAGGACGGAAGGATAGAAGTAATAAAAACATCATTACCTGGTCCAAGCCTCATAATCTTGGGAAGCAGGCCTTTGTACAAAGCGAAAATTCTATGATAGCAAGGGAAAGAGAACATTCATTAATTCTAAATTCCAAATTCTTAATTCTGAAATTAATTCTGAATTCTGAATTCTTAATTTTGAAAGTAGAATAGATCAGCTTCATTGAGATGTTGACCCAGGGTCTCTAAGAAAATTTATTTGAAATCACATCTATCTCAAACCAGGCAATAATGTGGCTATATATTTTCTGCAGCAGACTGGACAAAGGGAAAGGGTTAATGAATATTGCCCAAGCTATGCTGATCATGTCCAACCAGAAATATGACTTTCCTCAGTGAGATGGCTTTTGCTTTGAACATAAGTCCTACTTTCATGACAGCTGTGTATATAGGCAAAATGACTTTTGTCATTGAATTTAAAAGACCACAGACTCGGTCTTCACAAAAGGAAATACGACATAGTGTAGATCAAAATAACAGAAGATTCTTCATTTACTTGAGAATAAGATCTGAATGAGGAGGGATGAAGAGATGGACATAACACTTAAAGACAAGCAGAAAGAAGCATGTACTTCGGATAAAGAAAACGACCTTCACAGAACTCTCATGTTTAATTCTCCCAGGTGACTATAATGAGGCAACATTTTGATTGGATTTACAGTTAGATGACAATCCTTCTCCTGCCCACGCGTGAACAGGGTGTATTACAGCATATTATGCAAACTGCCCAGGAAAAGGTTCATCCGGGCGCTCCAGGACAAACATGCAGTGGGTTGTATGATGGTGGCTGGAGGTTCTGGATGGTGTAGGAACACGCTGCCAAACTTTCATCATTGAATTATCTCTCGAAGTTTGTCATTTTTGAGTGCTTTTCTCACACACACACACACACACACACACACACACACAATTTAGGAGATCTTAATGGCTTTCAGCAAAATGTTAACAGGCTAGGCTCTTAACAGTACTCGAGTCCTGCACATTTATTAAAATAAGAATGTTACCCTTCTTCCCGGTAGACTGTTGCCATTGTTTGAAAACAGGTTCTGTACTTGATCTCTCCAGGAACTGGCTGAGGCCCTTGAATCCTACTTTTGGCAACATCAAAAGGGATGTTAATGACTGAGGCTATTGTGCCTGAGAGAAGACCAATCCCAAATTTTCTCAAAAACTCCAAGGTTGGATCCTAAAAGAAAAGAAGAATAAAGTAACAGAGAGGGAAGCGGAAGCCCCTAAATTGGCTAAACACTATAAAGCAATATGTATTTAAGCAGAGCATTGCACTCCCCGGCACCCTCCTGTTATTCCAGCGGAACACATTAGGATTTCCTAGGCTGGAACTTGTTTTCTTGACAATCCCATTGGCTATGTTTTTACACATGGTCTAAATTGCTGAAGTACACATTTCCTCACACAGGATTTATAAACACAGTTCATAAAGAAAGACTGGTATGGCATATGGGGATGATTTGTATAATTGGGCTTCACAATGTACTTAGTATTACTGTATCAAAACAGGAGAAATCCAAGCACACTATTAGCTAATTGGCCAGAATATTTTACAAATGACAGCAACTTCCACCATGAAGCCTACTAAAATGCTCATTTGTGTGCGGACCCCCAAATGTTAAATTAAATCAAGGCTACTCTTGGTCTGCTGCTATTCCCCTCCAGGTTTTTTGCATTTATTTTCACGTGTAGCTGATCCACTGTACTGAGAAGTGCTAGCTTCCTGTTATTAACAAACCAACTTGGGGAGTTTGCAAAACAGCCTGTGACATTCTGTGCATTATAAACAGTAGTAAGTTAGGGGACTAATTGGCTGAAGAATTTACAACCTATTGTTCCCAAATCTTATTCTTCCTTCATGGCAAAGGAAGAAAAGAGAGAGAGAGAGAGAGAGACAGAGGCATAAAGACAGAGGCCATGGGTTGGGAGGGGGCGGTGAGGTAGGGGAGTTGGAAGGGGGAGAGAGAAAGAGAAATCTTTCTTCTTTCCGTTTGAATTTCGGTCCTTCACTTTGGTCTGATTTGATTTTTTCCACCCCTCCCTGCTCTGCTTTCTGACATCAAAGTATTTAATTAGGTCTTATGTGGGAGTCACTTTCCTTCAGCCTATTTTTGTGCCCAGTGAGCTCACATTATGCTTTGTTATAATGAATTTGCGGGGAAGTTCTCATTACGTTTTCAGCCTTGGTTCTTGCCCTGAAGAGAGGTCATCCCACAAACCGTAAGTTGCTGATGGAGACCACCCACCCCTCCCCCATCCCTCCTCTGCCCTTTCTTTCGGTCAATATTTCAGGACCATCTTCACACAGGAACAATACAGGATGGTGCCAAGATACCATTTTGCCCAGCAGGAGAAGGGAAGTGGAGAGACATACTTAAAATAAAAATAAAAAAATTATGAAATCATGTCTGAGCGTTGCATGCTTCTAGCTTCTATGGAAGAAGAAAACTTCTGGAAGCTCTGAAGTTTTCAACTGAACCAAGAGCCAGATACCATCACAGAAACCCCTATGTGGCTAAATATAAAAAGTGAAAGGTTCGGTAATAATTCTTGGATCTGGGCCATACAGGTGCCGGGTAGGTTTAAAGGGATTTAAAAACCAACAGGGTGTTTCAACAGGAAAAACAATGCAGTGATTGCAGTATGAGTGAGGTGTGTTTAAATAATTCCCCCTCCCCCCCATTTTTTCTCTTTTACAAGGAGAGAAAAATGCCTTTATGTTACCCTTCTCCGTTATGGCCCAGAAGCAGAGCTGGAGCGCAGGAGGATGGCGGGTTCAGGACTGGCTCTGGTTTGTCTGACCTCACACAAGTCACCAAATCACACAAGTCCACGTCCAAAAGTTTAACACCCGCCTTACCTTTGTCCTGCATTGTTTTTCTGAGAAACAAAAAACATTAAAAGAAGTGAAAGTACTACGAATGTTGTATAAGCCTGGTGGAAAATGGATAGCATTATTATGTAGCCTGTCTTCCAAAGTCTCAAAGCATCCCGTAATAAGACTCTCTGATGGCGTCCCTGTGACATAGCCAAGTGCTCCTTTTTCAGTTGAAGACAAGGGTGAAAAGGATGACTTGTATGCACCTTGTCCTTTTGAGACAAAGGACCCCCTCAAGCATGCAGCTTGTCCCATCTCCCGGTGTGTTCACTGGAGTCTAGAGCTGGAGGGGGGTTTCCCTCCCAAGACATTCGATGGAGCTCACTGTGCTTGAGACACCGCTGGAGACTGAAGCCTACGGTCTTCAGCTCATCACAGTCTCCATCCGCACAAGTATGGACCAAACCAGGGTCTCTAGACACTTCTCTTGACTAATAGTCAGGTACCACAGCAGTTCCCCAAACCAGATGTGCATCACAGTCACCTGAGAGCTTTACAAAATATGCATGCCTTGGCCCCCACCTCAGGTTTCCAGATCAAAGTCACATGGGAAAGGACCTGAAAGTTATTTTAAAAGATCTCCAGGACTTCCGAAGCTGCCAGGCTGGGGACCCACGTCCAGGCATTAGTGATTTTGATATTCCATGTGGGCAAACCAGATGGTCACTTGCTACCCTTCTGGGCATTCTAGGAAGGACAAAAGTCTTCTTGGGACAGTGAGGAGGTATTCATCACCACCTGGTCCCCGGGGGCTCAGCCAGTTTCTTCCTCAGAGCCCATGGTCTGGTCTATGCAGCAAACCCCTTGGGGTTGGGCGTGCTAAGGAGAGCCCTCTCAGCTTGCCTCTGCCCTTTTTTTTGTCCCCCCCCCACTACGTGTCATCAACAATTCTCAAAATGCAGCCTCTCGCACACTTCTCCCCTGCGTGTCCCCCTGGCTACTCCCGCTGCTCTGGCTTTAGCTCAGGCTCCCTTCACCTTACCAGGTCGTGTTTGCTTTTTGCTCTCTCTCGTCTGTTCACAGTGCACCAGCTCTCTTCTTGGAAAACAGATCTGCCTGTGGTTTCAAAGACCCTCAATCCTTCCCCACTGCATGGCGAGTAAAGCCAAAGCTCCTCACTTGGCCTTTGGTTTCTTTCCCACAACATGTTTCCAACTTACATCTCTGGCCTGCAGTTTGATACCTCCACCCCACCCCCATTCTACAGTCACACTGGTTAAATCATAATTATGCAAACTAACCAAGCACTTTTCTACCTCTTTTCTTCAAACTACTTCCATAGCCTATAAAGTCCTTCTCCATTATAGTCACCTAACGCAGTCCCGCTTCTCCTTTAGGGACAAGCTTAAATCCCACTGTGCCCAGGATACTTTAATGCATCCCTGTAAAAACTGATTTCTCCCTCCTCCTGTACTCTTGAACCTCTGTATGAACCACAATCTTTGCCCTGGCCAAGGCTCACTGTATGTTTGGTTTAGTTTTGCATGTATTTATTTTCCCTGCTGGATTGTGAGCTGGCATAGCATCGGAACACATGTTAACATGTTACTCCTCTCGGTGTCGTCTGTTACACAGTGTACACAGTAGGTGCTAAATAAATGTCTCCTGCTTGGTCTATCAGTGTATTTATTTACTTTTGTAGAAATGAGAATCAGGCTTAACCCTTAATCACTATTTCTCAAGACTCAGCATCTTCTAGCCTAGAAACAAACCTCTATTAACAACTTTACATTTCTATCTTTCTGCCAGGAGGCATTAACATGGGGACATGACAAGGCATTGGACATTTGCAAAGTGGAGTATTTCAGGGCAAGTAAATTGAGACTCTCGGGTCACAGAGCCAGGCCTGGGCTTGCTAGATCCCACTGCTCAGTGACTCACAGACAGAACCATGATATGGCAGCCTGTGACCAGATTTTAGCAGAAGACTGTGATGGGAGTAGAGTAAGTAAGGTCTTGAAATAGTACACTTAGGGCTCTTCTTTCTTATACTTCCTGATCTTTCCTTAGTAGGGAGAGGCAACCACTTGCCTCAAGAATGAGAGTTTATTGTAGCAAGACTATGAAGAGACGAAAAAGGCAATACTTAGTGTTTCTGGTTTTAAATTATGCCTTTTCATGTATTACATCAGCTAATCTTCACAAATTTTGATGGAAGAACATTATTATTATTCCTGCTTTAAAAATGAATGAACTGAAAGGTTAAGTATAAGAAGGGAATTTTTGTTACATCCATGTGAGCTTAAGACTTTGCTTCAGGTCATAGTTTTTCTACTGATACTCCTTAGGGCTAGTGGGTGGGCTGGTGGGAGAAGGGTCCCAGCACCTCCTGAAATTGTGAGCAATGCTTCTGTGTATGTGTATATGGACTCTTCTGCAGAGAGTGTCTATAGATTTTATCACGCTCAAAGTAGCTTAAAAATAACTTCATGAAACTATTTCCCCTACCAGTAAATTCATAAAGAAGAGGGGAGTTCAGGGTTGAAAACGCTAGGGCTGAAAAAAGAAAATCCTCATTTTCACAGGGGTCATTAGGCGATTCAACTTTGAGGAAAGATTTCTGCACACATTCCCTGCCCTGGAGTCACGTTGCTCATACTTCAACCGTTTCTATGAACTCAGTGGTTCTCAAAGTGTGGTGTTTGAACCACCATCATCAGTACCATGTGGCAACTTATTAGAAATGCAAATTGGCATTCTAGCCCAGGCCTATCTGGGGATGGAGCCCAGCAATCTGTTTAAACAAATTTAGTCTGATGGATACGAAAGTCTGAGAACCCCTGTTTAATTGGAAGATTATGGTTCATCTCTTTGTATCCTTGGGTTGGATAAGTGATGCACTGGGTTGCTCTGGACATGCTGGGAGGGATTTTAAAGCTTTCTTTGGGGTGCCTGGGTGGCTCAGTAGGTTGAGCCTCTGCCTTTGGCTCAGGTCATGATCTTAGGGTCCTGGGATCGAGCCCTGCATTGGGAGGGGAGGTGTCTCCGCTCAGCGGGGAGCCTGCTTCCCCCTCTCTCTCTGCCTGTCTCTCTGCCTACTTATGATCTCTGTCTGTCAAATAAATAAATAAAATCTTTAAAAAAAAATAAAGCTTTCTTTGGTGGAAATAGGGCTTTGTTTCTTTAAGGCTACAGAACTAAAAGTGATGCTGTTAACTGTGTTCCAACCTGCTCAGTCCAAAGCAAGTATGCACACTTGTGAGGTTTTGGGGTACCAGTGATACCTGTCACCTAGTTATTCTGTACCGGCTATCAGTGAATCATTCATGCATTCCTGTCACTAATGATAAAAAACACGT